TGTATAATTTTACTTCATTTTTTATATAAGATGTAGACACACTGCTGTTCAATAATGGGTATAATTTTCTCAAAGAAATTATTCCTCTCTCTCCCATTCCTCTCTTTTACAATAGATAACATTAAAACGTGCCAAATAGGAGACAACCACTGTATGTTTCATTTTGAGGTGCTGATTTGGGAATATGAGGTAGCTTCCTGGATATAGTCGACATTTAAATATGAAAACAGTCTTTCTGTGAAGAAAACAAATGAATCATGATTATTTGTTTTTGTAGCCAGTTTGAAAATAGTTCAAAACCCTAAGCTATATTCTTATTTGTTAATTCCGAACTAAAACCGTTTTGGAAAACCAATAACACTGGTTTATATGGTTTGGTCATTGGCTATCATATTCAAGATATGCTCGATCTCAATTTATTTATACACAAGGCAACACACTCCAATCAGGTTTTTACAGTAGAAATAGTTTGAAACCTCAGCTTTATACTTAAATCAGTTTGTTCAAACAAATCTCACTTTTTCATTTCATAACTTGGCCTTTTCCAAATTAGCCAAAATATAATGAAGTTGTTTATCTCTAGATCTTCTTGTTATACGATTGTGTGACAGACAGAAGGAAGCAGGAATAACTGTGCCAATTTAGTATAGCTCATGTCCAGTACGCTATTTAAAAATCCGGTTTTTGCGATCGCATCTCCGTTGAATACGGAAATTGATTTTGAGTAAATAAAAAACATTTGTTTCTTAGTTGTGCTATTTTTTGCGTATGAATACAAACGTTAAGAAATCGTCCTATTGTGTTACCAAAAACGTTCCAAGCCTCTGTCAACTAGACCCTTTAAATTCGCTTATGAATAGAGATTGCCTCAACTCCTTGAAAACACATTGACGGAATTCCCAGAAGAATCTTGCACTGATTCTTCTTTAGGTGGGACATGACGTTGTCCACCAGCTACTTCAACTTTAAGTCTGATTGTGTGTGTGTTGGGGAGGGGGTCACCTATCACAAAGAATATCACTCAGTGTGTCTGTAAATCGTTTCATGTCTATAGTATTATTTTAAGGACTCAAACGCATATTTATTTATGAACTGTTTCAATATGACAAATAATTTTTGCTTTTAACGCACCTAAGAGGCGCCTTTAAATTTCATCGTAATTTCCAGGGTTAACTTGCATTTCTAAATAAGATTTAGTATGGTTTCTTTATTTAAAAAGGGAGATGTTGCATGAATGCCAAAGAGACAACTCTCCACTAGGGACTAAATGACGTAGAAGTTTACAACTCAGTACATGTCACCGTACGGCCTTCAAAAATTAGCAAAATCCGCAAAGTAAGCTATAAAAGGCTTTGAAATGACAAATGTAAAACAATTCATACGAGAAAACTAACTGCCTGATGCCATTGAGTTGTCTTATTATTGCTTTCGTTTCCTTATTTTTATTTTGATAAAAAAGTAAAACCTTAATTACTATAAGTAGAAATTCATTACTAGTATCTTAACTCTGACTGTATCTATCATCACTCAGTCTCTATAAAACTAGACATTCGTTATTTTATCTCTGACCCTGTATTAGAATTTCATCACTGCTATTACATATGCATAATATCTGACATCACAGACTTCACGCCCAAACATTTTATTATTCTTTCAGAATCGTCATCATACCTCTAAAAATATGTTTATAACTTTAAAAATATAATGTTTCGTTGTTGCATCTTATATCTGTATTTTAAACATCTCAACGATTCTGAGGTTCAGTTTGCTTTTCTATATTTTTTTTCTAGTTAACTACTTTTGTAGGATATCAATCAGCCTCGATTAACACTTATCTCTATAGCAACTGTAGAACACCAATACATATTCATTAGATGAATTAATTACCTATTACGTAGGTTGGCATAGAAAAGAACAGATGTATTCCGAAAAAAAACAGTAGGCACTTCCGGTATTCCGAAAGACTACAAAAACTATCAATAAGGTTCATGCAAAAATTAGTATACTTACTTCCGTGTCTATGACACATACTACTAGGTATGGCCAAAACAAAACAAAAGCATATTATTCAGTTGCAGACAACTGTACTAGTAAGAACATCTCATGTTGTGTATATTTTGGTACTATCGCTATTTGACCTTATATACTTTGATTTTTGGTATATCAATGAAGATGATGTATGTATAACGTAAAAAAACATAAACTTGAAGATTCTCATATCGGTTGAAACTAAATTCATAAAAAATGTAAAATTTGTTATCATGGTTATTGCTTAAAACGTTTGATACGTTAGAATTTCTAAAATTGGACAGTTGGAATACTCCAGCATGTGCTTTCCCCAGCTGCTTGACGTCTCTTCAGCAAAATCTGCCAATATTGTCTGAGTTTGTAATTTTTTCAAAATTTACTGTTCTTGAGAACTGATATTTTTTCTTTTACCGATAAAGGTTTAATATTTGCGCTTTTGGCAATACTTTTTGCCGAAAGTGCAAATGGAACTAGAGTCCTGATGAGACCTTATAAGAGGATACAAATGTGTCCAGATGGCAATGTTCCAGATCAAGTTTTTCCAGATCAAGATCGAATCGCATGTAAACCTGGACCTGGGCCTGGCAAAAATGTTAAGTGCAAAATCTTCCGTAAGTATTTGATTTAGACGAATACTTCATTATGCATTAACGATTTCAACTTTGAAACTTAAATGTAGAATAAATTGTAAAAAAAAAATCTGCAAATGTATAATCAAACTATTATTGAAATAAAGAGTAAATGAAAGAAAACACTTTGTTCACCAGTCTTTTAACTCCATATCCTTATTTTTTCAAAGTAATGATAGTGATGATTAATACATAAGATTTCCTGGTTTCTAAATTTTAATATTATATAATAAATATTTTTTTAATATTCAAGAATCAGCGATTAATCCTGAAACACACAAATTGTTCAAATGTTACTTGTATACAATGAAAAAATATTTGGTTTTAATTTTAGGTCAATATATAGATTCCTGATTTTTAACATTTTTTTTTATTTTTGCGGCTCATAAAGATATGTGTTATATTTGACGTTTTATTTTGGTAGATTCCACGGTGAGCAATTTTTTTCAGTGTCCTAAATATGGTTACTATAGTGGCTGGTTCCACCTAGGTTTGAAACGAATGCTAAAATGTTGTAGAGAGCCAGGTAAATATATAATATTCTTAATAAGGATGTACTTAGTTGAAATTAAAAAAATCTAAAATTTGAAATTGATACTATAAGTCAAAAGAGCATTAGTTAAGGAACAAAATAAGCTAAAAATATATTTTCGGGATATTTAATTTTTTTTTAATGGCGGGAAAAGGCTGACTCAGACTTTTATCTTATATTTGCATTGGTATTTTTTGGGTCTCAAATCGAAAGAAAAGAAATCTAGAATCTGCTTAAATTTTGGTAAATGACCTTTTATGAGCTATTGAAGTTTTATATGAAAAAAAAATGGGTGCTATGGGGCAAAATATTTTACCCTGTATAGTAGGAAAAAAACCAAGGAGTTCGATCATCTGACAAAAACTCCTTAACCTGACCTAAGTACATCCTTAACAAACATGCATAAATCAAATCAATGTATTTCATTCCTTCACGTATTCTAATGACATGGCAACGATTCTTTTTACTTAATGTTCAGTAAAACAAGATTATTTGCAGATGGATATGTTGTTGCAATGTTATCGTACATGTACATTGTTTTGTAAAATAATATTTTCTACACTCGCTACACATATACTGAGAACATTCAAGCTACAATCGTTGACAAGACGCTAGTGTTCAACAAACTAATGATTTTTATAGCACTATATGACACCAAATGTTGAAAACTGGTTCTAGAAATCTGGTGATATTTTGAATATTTGGTCTTTAAAATTATCAGGATATGTCTACCATTAATTTCCAAGTACGTCAAACTTAATCAAATAAGATCTGAAACGCGATTTACGGGTCTGCAAGCATTTTATTGCGTATAAATTAAATGATCTTGGAACCACATTATAAAGGCGAACATGTCAAGCCTCCAAAACCATTTACATATTTGTATATCTATATATAAATTAAAGATGCCCGAACCTTTTTCCTGTGTTATTTGAAGAGTTATATTTTCATTTATAGTCTAACAACTGGAAGGAAACACAAAGATAATCATGAAGCTACCAATTATACAAAAATATTTAATAATTCAGTCAGGATGACGAAAGCATGAATTGGTATTGTATTTTGTATAGACGGGAACGGGATGAAATGCTATCAAACATTTAGGCACATGTATTACGCGAGTGGTTAAGGTTTTTTTTCCGTACTTGAAATTTACATTACATGTGTTTTTGCAAAATTGTATTGTCATACTACTAGGGGGTGTTAACGACATTGACTACCCATGAGGGTCTCGTACGGTCGGCTATAAATTTTCATGAAATATCATAGAAGTTGTGTTTCACACGTCAAGGAAAGAAAGTCGAATGCTTGATATAAAACTGCAACCAATTGGACTGACGTCAATAGACTGAATACACAAAATAAGAAAATCACATGGTCTAAATGTTAATTATTTTATTTGACAAGATTTTGTACGGCACAACTATTTACCAGCAGGCTATAATGCAGTCTCGAGGTCAATTTCTAATATCAAGCAAACAGTCAAAACTTTTTTCGTTTAATTGGAATGAACAAAAGATTCCGAACATATATTACACACTGCAGAATAAGTCAAAATGTTTTATTTTTTCATTTTGCTGTGTGTATTGGAAGCACTTTTATGATTAATCAATTCCAAGGAACGTTAAAGCTGAGTTCCAAGAGTTTAAAGAACCAAATGTGTATAAAGGTAGCATTACCAAAAGGAATAAAAACAGCTAAAGTTACATGAACCATGTAATCATGTAGTGAAAGTCAAGTATCGTATCGATGTTTATGTTTAAACATTTTAGTTCTTTAATAAAATTGAACTTTTACTAAAATATCTTTAGGAATACAGTACTCCCTAAAAGATTGCAGACTTGTTTATAATGACAAACTTCCACAAGGACGGATTTTTAGAGTAGATAAAGGGAAGTTCATGACCACATCTTGGTCTCCTGATGGCGGGTTTGTATTAACGTAGTCACAATCGTTCGGGCCTTTAAAATATCCTATATATCTGTTAGGGAAAAGAATGATAACTCTAGTTTTACAAAACTATGTGAATATATAATAAATAATTCAAGGCTTTCATCAGTTCCTTATGTTCTCTAAATATATATTACATGTATAAACGGTATGTTCTAAGCGTAAGGAGAGTAGTAAAATATAACCACATTATGTAGCTCAAGTTTAAACCTGGAATATAATTTGACATTCTTTGACTTCAGGGGTTGCAACCCATACAAAGCTATACAAAGCTGATCCTAACACATAGCACAGGAAAGGATTACCTTAGCTGTGTTTGGCAATAACTTTTCGGGTCCTCAATGCTCTTCAACTTCGTACTTTATTTGGCCTTTTTAACTTTTTTTTTATTTGAACGTCACTGGTGAGTCTTTTGTGGACGAATCCTGGCATCTATGATGAGTTTATTCTTAACCTTAACCTTAACCATACACATACCTAAAACTTTCACTAGCTCTAATCCTAAACGCAAATTGAACCAGGGGTCCGATGGTTGGTTCTCGCCCGTCTATTTTGGCATTCTCCTTGTAAATGATTAAAAAGATCTAGAATCAAACTTGCAGAAGTAAAAATTAGTCGACTACTGAAGATATATCAGCCATTGTTACTGAAAGTTCATTACATAAAAAAAAAAAATAGTATAGAGGCTTCATTAATGTTATCTATCGTTTCAAAATGAACACAAAAAAGATAGAGCCGATAAACGTACGTCCGAAATCGTAGAATAAGAATACAATAATAAATGAAAACAACACGTTAAATAATTTCATGCGTCCGAAGCTCTTTCTGGATTTACCTTCATCAGGAACGCTCAAAGCCGAATATTTGAAAGCCTAGGATGTATATGACCCGAAATAGTTGTAGAGCTATATGACAAACAAATACCTTAAAAAATAGTCAAATCTATCAACGGTCAACTTTGCCTGAGGGAGTTGAAACCCTAGTTTCTTTATAATTTCAAAATTTATAAACGGGCAATTTTAGAAAGGTTTGTTATAAATCATGTAGTACCCAAGTACTGACTACTAAGCTGATGATACTCTCGGGACTGGCAGTCCACCAGCAGAGGTATCGACCCAGTGCTGTAAAAAATGAAAACAACACGTTAGAGAATTTCATCCGTCCAAAGAGCTTTTCTGGATTTACCTTCATCAGAAAGGATGATTTGTAGGATCTTTTCAAAACACTGAAAGTGAACTGAATCAAATTACCTAAATGGCTTTAAATTTACGCACAAGTGAATTTTGGGGGACAGATAACTGTCGCATAAGCAGTAATATTCACGTTTAAAATCAATTGTCTATATGAGATCAAGATTTGTCTTTTCAGGGTTACATGGTTTAGCTATCAGTGCGCATATAACACAAGTCCTCCAATCAGCTATAAGAACTTTTTCAAACCACCTGGTAACTGGTAAATGTGTCAGCTTGAAAAATAAATGTAAAAGTTATCGTATAACTTAATAATGCTGACTTTGTTGTAACTTAATATATATAGGACGAGGTTAGAAAAAAGAATAACTCTCTTATTTTTTTTATTTTTTTTTTTGTAACGACCTTTCCATATAAATCATGGGAAAAAAAAAGATCATTGCAGTGTTGACAGAACTCTTCTGAGATATAAAGAGTGCAAATGTTTCTACACAGTTGAATTGGTAAAGATCCATATGTTTAAATTTGTATAATATTAGATTTCATATTCATAGATGTTTAACATAATAATAATAATACTTTATTTCCCAAAGCAATACACCTTTTAGGCATATTACAACATTTACATCATTCGTAAGATATTTTGTAAAATAATCTCATCAACGTAAAGTTTCCACAATGAAAATCGAAATCTGTAAATGTATTTTTTAATGATATTAGCTCTGAATATTTATCATTCTTTAAAGTGAAGCTGTTCGGTGCGCTGATATTAAGAATAGTTTAAACAAATTCCTTTAAAGTTTTGTAAAAAGAAAGTTTCGAAATCTGTAACAAGCGATTATCTAAATCCCCACTGGAAGGCCTCTGACAGACTGTGTGAGCATAAAATCATTGTTATCGATAGCCGATGACAAAGAAGTTAAAGGTGAATAATTCAGTATTATTAACAAAATACGTGTTGCTGTTGTCCATACTGTCACGGTTTTAATTCTATGATAGCGACAATGTATATATAACATAATTCATTTGTATAAACTCAAAATTGACATTTGGCGTCTGAGCAGCAGTTTGAAGGCAATTGCAAGAAACGTGAATAATGCAGAAAATTAATTCCAAGAACAAAATTACCTTGAACATTGCAAAACGATTCAAATAATTTACCATCAACATCGGTGAACGTTGTAGCACAGTTTTATTTTTTAATTTGATATATAACATGCGTTTTATCTCACCGTGACTTTGAGATGAAGCAGATCAATAACTATGGGTAGACAATTTTCGTGTATTAATATACCATATACTTTCGTTTCCATTAAATTTGGTAAAATGACGTCGAATATATTCGTTTTGATTATGCCTAAAGACTAATCACTGAATGAATGTCATATAACAAACAAATTCTGGCGAAGAAAAAATAGTTATTGGCAAATTAATTGAACATTCAGGACAAATTGAAACAATCATTAAAATAGGAAAAGAATAAGAAAGCCTCTAAAATAATATTGACGAAAGGGATCAATCCTTTGTGTAAGATCTATCATTCAGACTAAATAAAAATTGAAATATTAATGGAAAAATTAAATTGCTTTCATCATTGAAGAAAAAATGTTTCTTTATAGAATTAAAGAATCTTGTTAATTATCATTTTCTAAATATTGATAGTAGATTTAATCATACAAAATCGTTTTAAAAATATTTGTACTGAAAAATAAATTCAGCATTGTCAGTACTTTTTATTAAAGATTTCAACAGTAATATGCCTATGAACGGTCCATAAAACGGACGTCTCTTAGAAATGGTTTATAAACCCATCGAAACAATGTACATGTATACTCTGATTATAAAGAGCTATTGGTTTGCTTTTAATCTCAACTGCACGCCAAGCGATAAATGTATGGCATTTATAATGATAACGAAAGAAAGACATGGTTTTTGGAGCTTTAGGGACTATTTCAATCTGCAAAAGGCGCAAAAAAAAGTGAAATGACCATGCCATTATAAGGACCTAAGCTTACACAACCCGATGATCATTGATACAAAATTAATGGGTGTCAAGTATTCACACGTTTAAAGCCATAACAGTACAAGTTTATAAAATTGACTGTGTCACAGTCAGCTTTTCAGCTCGACAATGAATTGTACAGTACGAAAGTAAAATTGCGTCATCCAAGATGGTCAATATTCATTTATTTCATTATAAAGTAGATTTAGATAAATGTGAATTCTATTGATTTCTACTAAAACCATTAAATCGTCTTGGTATCCAGATTTCAATAAAACGCAACGTAAATGATTCGAACTGAGCATTTCTATTGAGTGTGGATTCGCATAGTGGCTGATGCATACATATCAGGAAACGCTTACCCTGTTGGGGCACGTGTGTCCCTCGATATTTCACGAGATTTGAACATCGGTAAACTATTGTTGCTTTTTTTTTTGTACTTCAAAAGTAACTACAACAACACAATTTACTGCCAAGTCACAACAAAGTAACTTTTCAGAGACGAAAAAAAAGTGTTTAGATTCCAGAGTATATAATCTTTTTAAAGTAAAAGAAAATAATTCGGATCTTTACTGTTTTTGTTTTTTTTTTTTTGTTATATAATATACATTTTATATTTTCTGTTTTTTTTTCTTTATTAACTGTACATATTACGTTAACTGTTTCTTAATTGCTACCACTAAAATGCTTTCGAAAGAGGAACATAGTAATAATGCTTAAGATACACAAGAGGGGGGATTGAGTACCCCGGCTGATGTAAATTTGTCTGAAAAGAAGTCAAGGATATCGTCAATAGTTGTCATTCTCCATATTTATGTCGATTGAGAATTTGATGTGGAAGTCGGTTATTTGGTTGTCTGTTTTGATCATATTAACAACACACCTATACTTAGGGGCGATTGAAAAGCTTACCATCCACACTTAGATTTGGTTTATTGAACAGGCCGTACGTATACCTACGGCGACTTTTAACTGTCTTCTTTATTAACCACTGATGTTGAGTAATTGACGTATACTCCACATTTCCTGGTATTCTATAAGTTATTAGTAATTCAATTTAGTGAAACGTTTTTTTAAAAAGACAAAAGAACTGTTAAACTGTATAAACAATTAAATCATATGAATAGTTAGCGCCCTCTGTATCTGTTCCTGTTTCTGTTCCTCATACAGACTCGACACTGGCAACGTCCTCGGGCTTTTCTTTCACAAATTCCTGTACAACCTGCACAAGTGCGTCTTAAAACTCTTCTCAGTCTTCCGCATATCACCTTCAGCTTAAGGCGGGTTTTTCGAAAACAGTTGCTGCAATAGAAGAATAAATTATTTTATAAGAGGTCAACCATATAACCATAAGGGGTATGTCCTTTTTCTTCCGACACTCCCCCCCCCCCCCCCCCCCCCCCCTAAAAAAACATGTAAGATAGTGATCCTTAAGCAGGGAAACAGTGATGATATTGTAAACTCCTTAATGTGATATAAAAGTTTCAACAACCTCTTTTTGTGTCCCGCGATATCCCATCTCCAACTCGTCGTCGTTGTACATTAAATTTTGTACTTATCAGTGAGAGTGTCATAGTAAGATTATTTACTTTTTGCACTTTTAAAGTCAATCCATTTTCTTTTCCTTCAACACTTCGCTACAGATCACAACAGAAAACAAAATCCCCATCACTTCTATCTAACATTAAATGTTGTGTGCTTTCTACAGTATCTGAGGTAACAGGTTCGTGTCACTTAATGACATCTTTTGAAGATAAAACACGTAAAACGCGTATAAAAAGCCTAAACGCACATTTAGAATAATTGTAAATATCTTCATATGAATTGTTGATTTACCAGAAAAGTTAACAGTTCAGTTTTTGAAATATATAACTGTTACATGTATGCCCATAACAAATTTCCAGTTCGTCTTTTTGTCTATACGGTATGCCGTAATTACGATAAATGTTTGTTTTTCAATGTTGCCCTAGTCGGCATCCGTATATTTACAGCAAAAGAATAAAATAATGCATAAAAAAGAGAACAGGAAACACAAAAAATACTAACTACAGACGCCCGACTACTCCGAAAAAAAATTCCCAAAAACTAACAACAACCAACATTTTTTCGTGGTCCAGATACTAGGCCAAATTTGTACGAGCACACAACGTGGTGCGGTAGAACCTGTTTGCCTGCACACAACGTGGTGCGGTAGAACCTGTTTACCTGCACACAAACCTCATTATTTGCCTATCTACATCATATGTCGAACAAAGAATACGACGGCATATATACTAGTCAACAAAAGTAACGATACACAAGTTTGAACTCCAATTTATCATAAAATATAATAAATAGGAAAAACTGTTAAATTACCTAAGAAAAAACATTCATTTGCAAAGCAAATGCATATGATTAAAAGAATCTGACCAAATTTGAAAGTGAGAAAATACCGTGTTATTGAACACAGGGGTCAAATTTATTTAGCGGAAAATGATGACAAAAGTCGGTACTTAATTTCGAAGATATGAATTAAGTATACAAATATCTGCAAAGGCATTCAAAATTTTAAGCAGACCATGTTTAAGTTTAGAGTTTTAAGTTCTTATATCGATTTTTGAATTTTTGGGTGAAAATACGATTTTTGAAATAACAAAAATTGCAACAACAAAAAATCGCATATTTGCCTTAAATCAATGGTTTTGATAAGAAAAAAACACTCTGTAAATATAAGACCAATTGGGCAATTATTTACCTTGGTACAGTGTATCCAATTTTATTATATATGGAAAATACATTGCCTTGTATCGTTTCTTTTGTTGACTAGTATAGTTTGGAAAGCAGAGTTAAAGTTTGCTCGCTATTACATGAAAGTAGCCAGAGGTACTGGTTAAAGATGTCCTACTCTTTTATTTATCATAATATGGTATCATTATAATTTTTTTTACCTTGAATGCATGTACAAAATAATAATAAAACTGCTCGCCCCCAACCTTTTTCTGTAGTTTCCTGATTTGATATTACACCAACTTCGAATCAATATAGTAATATACACTGATGGTCCGTTGAAAAGGTGAACACCTAGGGTTTTTAGGGTTGACAATTTTGGAAATTTATCGCTAATAAGGGGCCGCAATTGTTTTTTTTTATATATATACAAAACATTTTAGACAAAAACCATCTGAAAATCGACGTTTCACGACCTACAACACGATGAAGCTACGATTATTTCGACGTTTTGTGGAATTATTTTCACCTAGTACACCACTTTGAATGATGTATACCGTTAAAACGAAGTCGGTGACCAAATTATTTCTATATCATTAAAACGGAA